AGAGAGATGAATGGTGATGGATAAACAGTTCGTCCAAATAGTCCTGAAAAGGTRTCRAAGATGCCTTGCCAGTATCCATGTAGCTTTGGACAGGACCAGAATGTGTGCAGGAGTGTGGCAGGAGATTGTCAGCAGCAATCACACGTCGGATCCAAGTCCCTTTTGAATTTGCACAATCTGTCCTTAGACCAGTGTAGACGATGTACTACCTTGAATTCAACTATAACATGTTTCACACATACTGAGGAAGAATATATATTTTGAATAATTTTTTTGCCAAACTGTGTCTGATATGGATTCCTCCAAGTCCATATATTCCTGGATATCTTTTAATTAAATATTAATTAATTAAATTTTTAATTTTTTATTAATCAAATAATTTAAATAATTATATAAAAATACAAAATTAGGCAGTACAGTGGCACAGTTGGTAGAGCAACATACTGCTTCTAAGGAAGATGATTTCTAGATCAGCTTTCTAGGTTGTGTTTATTTTCTCCTTGTGAAGGAGTGGGTTTTCTCCAGGTACTCCAGTTTTCTCTCACAGATGAAAATCATATTTAGTAAAACTAATATGACATAAAAAAAAAAGAAAATAACTATAGAGAAGCAATTCTTGCTGGAGGTGTGGCCTCTGTTGAAGTTTAAAATGATTAGATCAGTTGGCCTCTATGTATGTGTGTCCCATCTCCACTGTAAAGGGTTTAGGTTAATACTACAGTAAATGTAGTTTGTAATTGTGCTGGTTTTAGTCTTTATTTCCAGTTTTGAGTTTTAGTAATTACTGTTTTTCTTCACAAAAGTAAACATCAACAAGCAAATAAAACTTTTAACATACATAGAAGAGGTGATGGCTTTAAAATTTAAAAAGCKTGTTCCTTGTAAATGTCTTTATATATATAAACACTCACCGGCCACTTTATTAGGTACACCACGCTAGTAACGGGTTGGACCCCCTTTTGCCTTCAGAACTGCTTCAATTCTTAGTGGCATAGATTCAA